ACCCTTCGACAAACCGCCTATAGTAGTTGGCTAATCCTATGAAGAACCGCACATCGGATACGGAAGTAGGAACCTTCCATTCTTGGATAGCTTTTATCTTATCGCTATCCATACTAATCTATCCACATTTGACGACATGTCCAAGGAAGTTGATACATGTTTGTGCGAATGCACATTTCTCTCTCTTGACATACAGTTGGTTTTGACGTAGCTTGTCAAACACTAGCTTCAAGTGCACTTTGTGTTCCTCTAGGGTTGTGCTGTAAACCACTATGTCGTCGAGGTATACTATGACAAACTGATCCAAGTATTCGTAGAAAACTTGGTTCATCAACGTGCAGAAAGTAGCTGGAGCGTTTGTCAAGCCGAAGGGCATTACTAGGAATTCGAAGGCCTCATATCTTGTTACACACGTCGTCTTGAGATCGTCCCCTTCGGCAATACGTACTTGGTAATACCTTGATCGTAAGTCCAACTTCGTGAAGTACTTGGCCCCGTGAAGTTGGTCGAACAAGTCGAATATTATCGGCAGTGGATATTTGTTGCATACCGTCACCTTGTTTAAGGCTCTATAGTCTATGCACAGACGCAACGTCCCATCCTTCTTCTTCTGGAACAGTACGGGGGCTCCGTAGGGTGCCTTTGCCGGGCGGATGAATCCCGCCTTCAGCAACTCATCCAGTTGTTTCCTTAATTCAGCTAGCTCGGGCGGAGCCATCCGGTATGCGTTCTTCGCTGGCGGTTTAACCCCAGGGATGAGTTCGATTTTGTGATCAATGCCTCGACGAGGTGGTAATGTTTGGGGTAAGCTCTCTGGCATTATGTCAGCATAGCTGTTTAGTACCTCATTGATTTCATTTGGGACAGTTTCTTTGGTGGTCGCTACTTCCATCAATGGTATGGCCATAAATGTAGGTTCCTCTCGTGCGAGTCCCCTTTTCAATTGTATGGCCGAGATCATTCGAAGATTACTTGGTTGCTTGATGCTTGCAGGTATTACTGTGGGGTTGCGGTCGGTGATCACTAAGCATTTTGCCAGCCGCATTGGGATAACTTTGTGTTCTAGGAGGAACTCCATCCCAAATACCACGTCAAAGTCGTCCATGCAAGCTACGACAAGATCTAGCTCTCCTGTCCAATCCCCTATTTTGAAGGGGCCTCTTTTGGAAACTCCCACAATAGGCAAGGCCTTAGAATTGACAGCTTTCATTTTTTCCGGGTCCTTTCCTATAGTGAGTCCTAATCTTCGAGCTTCTTGATCGGCGATAAAGTTGTGGGTCGCTCCTGGATCTATCAGAGTGCTCCTGCTCGGTTGAGAATTTATTGTCGCATTTACGAACATGAGCCCTTTCTCTACTATCTCCTTCGGTTCAACCTTCCATTGGAGGGCTGACAAGAATTTAAGCGCGCCCATTCGGGGATTGTCTTGATCTTTCTTCTTGTCAAGTATAGTCTCAACCCTTGCGTCATTGCTCTCTTGAATGGACACTTGGAGCGTAGTGAGAGAGGCTCGATGAGGACAGTAAGATACTTTGTGGGAACCTTTACACAGCATGCATTGTAAAGACATCGTTGGGTGGTTCCTTTGATGGTAAGGTCCTCGAGATATCCCCGCTTGGTTGTTCTGAGGAGGTCTATCTGTCCATCTGTCCATCCGTCCATCCGCTTGGTCTGTCGTTACCTCCGTTCGGTCTGTTGGGGCTTCCATTTCGATGACCTGGTGGTTTGTATGTCTTGCCACCAGTGTTTGGGGGCTGGTGTCATTCTTCTTTGGAATCCCGCTTCGTTCCCATAGTCTAGGAGTCTCTCGGCACAGGCCATTGCGGCAGCTAGGGTTTGGACCTTGTTCTCGTGTAGCTTTGTTTTGGCCCACGGCTGTAACCCATTTATAAAGAAGAACACCTTGTCCTTCTCTAATGTGCCCCTGATATCTAGCATCAGGGCTGAGAACTGTCTGACATAGTCTCGTATGCCTCTAGTGTGTTTCAGGGCTACTAGTTTTTCCATTGCTATATGTTCTGCGTTTTCAGGGAGGAACTGGTCCCTCAACTCTTTCTTAAGGTCCTCCCACGAGTCAATGGTGCACAATCCATCCTCGATGTCTTGCACCTTCGTACGCCACCACAGTTTGGCATCGTCTATGAGATACATCGAGGCTACGATCACCTTCTTGTCGTCAGTACAAGCCGTTGTGGCTTTGAAGTATTGTTCGACATCAAAGATGAAGTTTTCCAACTCTTTGGCGTCCCGATTCCCTTTAAAGGCTCTAGGATCTGGGAATCTTAGTTTGTTGGACCCTGTATTAGTTTGCCCAGCCATGACGTTCTCCACGGCTTTCATGGTCACTTCAATTCGAGTGCCCATGGAGGCCATCCTTTCTTGGATGTCGTCGATTGTTGTTTTGAATTCATCAGCTAATTCATTGAACAAGCTCATCATTGTATTTTGTAGCACGTTGAACTCTTCGCCACGTCCCTCCTTGTGCGCGACAGAGCTATCCGGACTACCAGACGGTTTTGGGCTGCTCGTAGGAGCAACTCTTTCTTCGAGCGAGGTCACTTGAAACATCAATTCTGCGATTGGCAACCCATCCAGGCGGTTGCCCATTGCGTCGATTTCTACGACTTTCTCACTCAATTCGGTCACCCGTGCTTCTAGGAAGCGGAGGGTGTCAGGGACTTCTTTGAGGAACAACATTTCCTCCTCTATTAGCGTAAGCCGGTCGGCTTGTGCTTTGGGTGTCGACTTTGTTGCCGACATGGTTTCGGTCTTTACTGTGTCACGGAGCTAACAAAGCTCTGATACCACTTGACACAATCACACTTTTAAAGGCAGCGGACTAGCGATTGTGCAGCACTCAGTTTCCAACGACAAGTGAGCTAAGCCAATTTGTTCTTGCGTCGCCTACGGCCAAGCGACGTATGATCGAGCCTCTAGCCTCGGTTTTGAAAGAAGGTTTTAGAAAACGAGGGTAGAGAGAGATTTTAGAAAGAGAGATTTTTGAAAGAGACGTCATATAAGCAAGCAAGAGAGAGATGACAACGGCTTAGCATATATAACCTTGGGTAGGGAGAAGTTGACAACTAATCATATTCCCCTATAGTACATTCTGAGGCATTTCATGTCTGGTAGGGCTAGACATGATATTTTTGAGGCGTCATACGCCTAGAACTATAAAAGTAAAAGCACTAGAATGAAAAGACATGACAAGGGTTTGGCTTGTCATGGGCATGCGGCCATGGGCAACACGCCCTAGACGAGCATGACCGTGACACTGCTCGCACAACCATGTGGGACCCTTACTCTAGAGGTTCGACAGTCTTTGATGAAGTCCACCCTAGAGACTCAAGCTTAGACAAGACAACTGATATAGGCTCTAGTGTCAAACCAGTAGCTTAGATGTAGCCCCCAACATAATAAGGGCATGAAAGTTGAACCTCATTACCTGAAAGATTTTTAGAAATATAACCCTCTTTGTTCGATGGCAAAAAGATAGATCTACTTACTGCGAAAGCCTAGCTAGAGGTTGTTGAGACAGCTTTCTACTATATGAACTGTCATGCTGGCTACTAGGTTATTGTGCCACTCATATGTTAAAAGGCGAAATACACTGGTGGAAAAGCGCCCACAAGACACTCATCAATCTTGAAGAGGGTTCTGTTACATGGTGTCAATTCAAGGAGGAAACTTCAGAAGTATTATCCAAGAGCTATCAAGATCACGAATCAAACAATCTTCTTGGCACTAAAATAGGGGGACGGAGAGTACGACCTCAAATTCAACAAGTTGGTAAGGATCACTCTAAAATTTTTTAGTATAGAGAATATGAAAATAAATCTTTTTATTGCGGGTCTCGATGGACGAGATCTAGGGATTAATTATAGCTTAGACTTCCTTAGATTACGCAGAGGCACTGCTTATTGCAACGTGATCTCTTTTTTTTCCACAATTTTCATCCAAAAACACAATGGAAGCGGCCAGAGGTTACTAATATTGCCCAAACACCCCTAAAGTAAGGGAAGAGATCAGATAAGAACTTCACCAAGATTGATTGAAGTCGTCGTGGAAGTTCAGACAACCGCGAGCAAGAAGATGAAGGTGTAGTTGGATGCCCCGAGTGCAAACACAAGCACAAGGGTGGGTGCTTGATAGGGACAGGAGTATGTTTTAAATGTCGCTAACCAAGGCATAAGGCCACTTGAGTGACTATTGAAGGTAGAGTTCGGGACAATGTTGATGCTACGATCTTGTTAATTTGATTATGAGGAGTGACTTGGGACTCCTACTGTTTGAGAAATAAACTTTGATGTCGGAGAGAAAATAGAAAAAAAGAGTAATTATGATTTTTTTTTTTTTTAAATTCGGTTAAAAGGAATTACTTAATTTAGGAGAGAAATGGTTAGGAGAGAAAAGTGATGGGCAGTTAAACATAGAAAACTCTAAAAAGGGCTTTACCTAATGTTGTAAAATGGCAGGCATAACAGAACAGTGTAATACAAAAACCTTTTGATAACTTCTTTGTCTCTCCCCTTTTGACACACTCGAGAGAGTGTTTGTTTTCTCTCAAGTTGGTATCGGAGCGGCTTTATTTTTCTACAAATTGGTATCAGAGCAATTTATTTTCTACAAATTGGTATCAGAGTCGATGGCAAACATGATGGGACAAATGCCGCTACCACGATTGACGAAGACGAACTACGAGAATTGGAGCATCCAAATGAAAGCTCTTATTGGTTCGCAAGACGCATGGGAGGTGGTCGAAGACGGTTTCGAAGAACCGATTGTTATACGGTGACGCAAAACAAGGCGCTAAAGGAATTACGGTCAAAGGATAAAGCATCATTTACATGCTGTTCTAGGCTGTTGACGAGTCGGGCTTTGAGAAGATTGCAAGGGCAACTACTTCAAAAAAAGCGTGGGACACTCTAGAAAAGGTGTTCAAAGGAACCGACTAAGTCAAGCAGGTGCGTCTCCAGACTCTACGTGGCGAGTTAGAGAGCATGAAGATGAAGGAGTCAGAAAATGTATCTGACTATATTACACGTGTACAGACTGTGGCGAATCAGCTAAATCGAAATGGAGAAATGTTACCCGAGACGTGGGTTGTGGAGAAAATCTTGAGGTTGTTAACAAGCAACTTCGAGAATGTCGTATGTGTCATAGAAGAGTCGAAGGACCTGACGAAGTTCATAGTCGATGAGCTTGCCGGTTCTCTCGAGGCACACGAGCAACGCAAGAAAAAGAAGGAGGAACCACTCGATCAAGCGCTTCAGACGAAGACATCAATAAAAAATGGAAAAATACTCTACTCACATAATTTTCGAGGTAGAGATAGTGGAAGTCGCGGGAATGGTCGAGCTGCTCAAAGCAAGGATACAATTCCAACATCCAATGCTTTAAATGTCAAAAATATGGTCATTACACAAATAATTGTAATTCCGAAAAATGTTACAAGTGTGGTAGAATAGGTCACTATGCTAGAGATTTTCGAGCCAAAGAGAAGGTGGAAGAAACCATCAACCTAGCCTTGGATAACGCAACAAGTGGAGACATCCTCTTGATGGCTCAAAACGAAGAGCCGAACACAAAAGGAGACGGTGGCACGAAAGATGATGGCGGTAGTCTTGAGGTGGTAGAAACTGTTAGAAATGAGGTGATACGCAGCGGATTTGGTGAAATCGCGGTATCAGAGACGAGAAAATCGAATAAAGATGAACAACCAAAGAATAGAGAGCCCGAGCTCGAAGAGAGAGAGCTCCAATGGCCAGAAAAGCAACTCGAGGTAGAAAGAAGAAAGAGAATGAAAATTGAAGAAGAAAAGAAAAAGCTGGAAACAAAAGTTCAAATGGTGAGAGAAGGAAGTGACTGAGCTGAGTAAGAGTTTCTTCTGTCTAAAACGGGAGAAGGAAAAGAATGAGAAGACAATCTCCGATCTCACGAAGAAAGTTGAAGAAGGTGCGGATAAAGAGAAAGGTCTACTCATGGAGATTGAGGGTTTAGTGGACGAGCTAGTAAGGGAGAAAAAAGATATAGAGATAGTGACTCAACAGAGAAACTCACTCGATATGAACCTGAATCAAGTCCAACAGGAGGCGGTGAATTTACGACACACGATTGAGACACTCACTCATGATAAAACAAAACTGGAGGAAACAAGAATGCTAGCTGTAAATGTCACTGTGGACTTACGAAGAGAATTGAATAAACTGAACTAAACCATGAAGTCTGAGTCAAGCTAGCTGAGAACTGTATAAATGAAGAGGTGGCACATCTAGGATGTTCTTGAGAAGATCCAAATGAAGTCTCATCAGAGAAGGACAATCTCATTTTTTCGCTCGAGGAAAAGAAGAGAAAATTGAAGAAACCACGACTGAGATCAAGAAAACGAAAACGGCCCAGAAGGAATCATTGAATAGGAGTGGGGGAGTTTTGTTGAGAAATAAACTCAGAAGTAGGAGAGAAAAAAAAAAAAAAGTAATTATAAATTTTTTTGGTTTTAAATTAGTTAGAAAGCCGTATGTAATTTAAGAGAGAAATGGTTATGGGAGAGAGAAAGGTGATGGGGGCATGCTTAAACTTAGCCTGGTAAAATACTATAAAAAGGCTTTACCTATGGTTGAAAAATGGTAGGGAGAAAAGAACAATGTAGTGTGTAATACAAAAACTTTTAAGAACTTCTGTCTCTCCTCTTATACACCTTCTTTAAAGTTTCATAAGAGTGATCTAAACGAATTAGATTAAAAGTGAGCGTTTTTTTTCTCTCTCAAGTTGGTATTGGAGCGGCTTTATTTTTCTACACATTGTTATAGAGCAATTTATTTTCTACTTTTATACTTGCGGTTGTGTTGTGTCCAACGTAGAAGAACCCCGACAAAAATGTCAAAAATGTTGCGAGCATACAGAGAACAACAATGCAGTTGCATAAAAAAAAAAAAAAAAAAAAGTTGATTGGTTGATGCTACAACAAGAATACATCGGTTAACTTAGCTGTGTAAACTGGGTGTCGAACACGATGTGGAGAAGGAAATCTTCCTTAGGCTGCATGCAACATCTTTCCTTTTGAAAGGTTAAATTGAAGCGAACCTTTGTTTTTACAGGCCTAAATAGGATTTGTTTTTTCTTTTTGATCTTTTACATTTCAACATTTCTTCTATTCTAATTTATTTGTGGATTTCTTTCGAGGGTTTCTATAAACCTTGGTTTTGTGATGAGTCATACAAAGAAAAACTTTGTGAAAGAAGAGAAGATTTGATCTCATTAAAGGAGCTAGAGTAAGAATGAGTCCTAAGAAGAAAAACTTTAGGAGAGTAGAGAAGACTTGACCTTATTAAATGAGCTTGAGTTAAAAAGATTAAAGACTTGTTAGAGCATTCCCGTGACATTATAAAAATAGTTGCCAACATTGAAATTGTTCCATAAACTTCAGATATGCTGGAATGGAATTCACGTTAAAACATCATCACTAGTCCAATAGTATCAAACCCAATAATTGTATGAACCTATTGTCTAATATTTTAGGAAAATGATTTAGATAGTTTATGAATAAATATTTAGATATTTTATGATAAACGGTCTAGCCTCTACTATAAATACCCCTCCACCCTATTAAGTTTTTCATCCCAAGCAATCTCAAGTAAAGTAAAGTACAGTAGTTTCTACAAAATGTCTTATAATCTCTTCTTGATTGGAATTAATAAAAATGTGAGTGTTTCTCATAAAAGAGTTGTGTTCAACAATCTAGTATTAGAGCGAAGTTGGTATAGGTTGTTAAGTCTCTTTTGGAATTCTTAATATGTTCTGTGGTTGCAGATTTGTCTTTTCTTTCACATTAGAAACATTTTTTTAACATTATTAGTGAATGAGTTTTTTTGTGTTGTGAGTAGTTTGTGACTCTACTAGTTTTGCATCAAAAAAACTTATTTCGCATTATTAAGGTATTTCAACACAATGGGTAATCTCCAATTTGTCAGAGCAATGAAGAAACTCAACAACAACAATTACTATACATTTACAATATGCATGATGCCCTATCTATAAGGAAAAAATCTTTTGGAGGTCGTTGGCAGAAGCAAAACTATGCCAACAGATGAGGATGCTAATGGTACCTGGCATAAATGGAGAATCAAATCAGATAAGGCAACTTTTTTCTTGAAGACCATAACCGAAGAAGAGATTTTATAGCAGATTCGAGATGACAAGTGATAAGGATCACGGTGTTCCAAATGTTCCAAGTGGACCTATTGATGATAAGGATCACGATGTTCCAAATGTTCCAATTGACCCTATTATACGATCTAAGGCCAATAAATTCAACAAACATCCATTCTTCATCTACAAAATTGGCTGATTTGATAAGTTGTTAGAAAACTTTATTTATTATTTTAAATTTTGTAATGGACAAAAAGGTGGAATTTATTGGTGAAATTGACTTCTTCTTTCATAAGATTTAAGGGGATAAGGATTAAATTATGGTCACTAACTTGTGCATTTGAAGCATTGAAAGTCAGGATTAAATTATGGCCACTGACTTAGGCATTTGAAGCATGGAAAGTTTATTTTGGGGAGAGACTATGAATACCACCAACTTTTATTAAAGATAGATTTGTAAGGATTGAAATTGAGATATCAAATTGAGGCTTTTAGAGTATCATCTTTGCCATTGAGATCTCAAATTGAGGCTTTTAGAGTATATCTTTGTCATTTCTAAATTTCAACAAATTCTTTGTCATTTATAAGTTTCAACCAATTCTTGTGGTAGATTGCATCTGAGCCATTTAATCAAGCCACAAGGTTCCAAATCTTCCTTCTAGATCTTTAATGTTAAATGGTAATTTAATTCTAGCCTTATCTATTAGTTGATCCGAATTTTATATAAGAAAGTGTTAATTTCATTGATTCAAGGGTTCTTGTTTCCACAAAACATTTGATTATTGGGATGAGGGTTAGGGTTGCATTATCAATAAGAGACCGAAAGAAGCATAGGACATGTTCGTGACGTTTTTCTCAAAGATGAATGACGTGAGACTATAAGTTCTGGAGAATGAGTTGTTGTCAATCTCACAACGTTACATGACGATTGCTTAGTATTTCCATAAGGTCAAGTGTCGGGAAATTACTAAACTAGATTTGGAGTTTGTCATTGGAGAAGCTTGAATGAAAAAGAACATCGGTGGATTACAGCTAGAGTATAGAAGTTTTGTTGTTACTATACCAGAATAACCAAGAAGCCATGACTAAGAAAATAGAAGATATTGTGGATATGACCCTTGATCAAGTACACCTAAATAAATAACTGAAGCAGAAATAAGAATACTAGGGAAGAGTTTCTTTGAACTCAACCATGTTAATCACTATGTTTTTCAATTTTTTTTTTTTTTTTTTTTTGGTGGTTGTAACAATTCTCCTAACCAAAACACTTACAATTTTGCTAAACTTGTTCAAGTTAATAATTACGGACAAATATACTAAAATTGCTACAAGTTAATAATTTATTTTGCTAAGTTAAGCTTATTGACTCACAAGTATCACATTGAGGGAGGAAGAAGAAACTCTCTACAGATAGTTTGAGCAACACTAAACTGTCCACCAAAGTTTGGATATAAAAATGGTAACAAAAGAAAAATCATTAAGAACTACACAACCTTGGAGAGCTCAAAAAAAAAAAAAAAAAATGTAACAAGAGTTCCTTAAGAGAAAATATTCAAAAGTATTTGCAACAAATGTGGAAAAATGGCTACAAATCTAAAGATTGTTGGTCTAAGAAAAATTTCTTCGTGGAGGATGAATGGGATACACAAATACTATGTGCCAGAAGAAGACGAATAACACTCATGGTGATGATGGAGAGCATCCAGATTATGAGAATGATTGGGTCATTGATTCCGGGTGCTCAAACCACCTAATTGGCGATTAGAGTTGTGTAACTGAAGCATGGTGGTTCTTAGAGAAAAAAGTGTTGATGTGTTTGAAGATCCAAATGACATTGATGTTTGTGAGCAAGAAGTAACTAAATGAAGTGAATCCAATGAAAAGGAAATGACACGTTAATAGCTTAAACGATCCGAAATAATTTGAAAGTCAAATCCTAAGTATGTCAACATAACTATTATAGAAGACAAAGTTAAAGAGTGAGAGATATATGAATATGCATCACAAAATTCAACTTGGCAGAAGGCGATAGATGTCAAACTCATCTCTTGCAAATGGGTCTGCAAAATAAAGCGTCAATCAGATGAATCAATTGAAAAATACAAGGCCTAGCCTGTTACTCGAGGGTTCTCTCAACAATATGAACTATAGACTATGATGAAATAGTTAGTCCAATGGCGAAGATCACTATCGTACGGATCCAACACTTGCATCAAGTAAAAATAGAAAATTATACCAGATGTATGTAAATAATGTTTTTTTTTATGTGAAGAGTTTGAACTAAAAGATCTACCGGAACTAATTAAAGGGATTTGAGAATGCAATTGGAGTCATTAATCAGCACGTGCAAAATCCAAAGAAGTCTGGACATATTAATAATACCATTGACTATAATTTTTTTTTTTTTTTTTAATAAAAAAAAACCAACTTCAAAAAACAGAGTGCAAAGTACGTGGCTGGCTGAAACTCCTCAAGTAGAAAATACATTTCATTCAAAAAATCACGATGGAGCATGTTTACAAAAAATGAGTGAATACTAAGTAAATATGAGGGCTTTCACTTACCGTTTAACACAATAAATAAAGACTAGTGTTGAGAGAGGGTTAAAAATCATCCACCCAAATCCAAATAGATCGATTATAAGCTGAGTAATTATATATTTTTTGTAAAAATAAAATATTTAAATATTTTAGGAATAAATTGTATACTCTTGTTTGATGGGTGTGAATAAAAATGTAACATGTTTTTGAAAAATGAAATAAAAGAGCCAAAATCGAAGGGCTGAGAAACAAAAGAAAGCAGGGCAAAGAAGGAAAAGGGAAGCAGGCGGGGATTTGGGACTCAGTTTTATTGTCTAAAATATATGATTTCCAAGTAATGAAAGAACCCTTTTGAGTGTCTCTTAATTCTGTAGCTGAACAAAACAGAGAGATACAGAATTTCCAGAAAGGAGGAGGAGGAGGAGAGATTTAGATTACATATATGTAGTATGAGAGGAAGTAATATCCTTGGCGTGATTCGAAGGCATAAACGCCAACACCATCAGCATTCCCATGATACCAATGGGAAGAAGCAACAGCAGCATCAACGGCGGCGGCGGCAACGGCGGTAGAATCAACGGAAGGATCAACAGCGACGCCGCCAGGCACACCAGCACCGCCAAATACGTGGCCGCGGGCACCAATCGCCTCGCCGTCCCCTGAGATAGTGACCGCGTGTACTCCAGCATGCGCTGCTCCTGGGGGGCTGCGTCATAGGGAGTGGTATTGGAGGAAGGGAAGGCGGGTTTGGAATCGGCGGCGTGGAGAAAGTAATAATGGTGGGGGTGGAGATTGTGGTGGTGGTGCATACTTCTGAAGTCGTCGGGATTGGGAACCCCTGGGGTGTCGGCGTCCGGAAGTCCAAGACTCATTTAGGAAGGAACCCCCAATGCTCCAAATCCAAAGCAGTTAAAGCCAAATTGGGGCGGAGAAGGAAAGGAAAACAGAGATGCAGAGAGAGAGGGTGGAAGGTGGAGCAATCTGGGGGCTTAATTATTTAAATTCTCCTCAATATCAAATCTTATTAAAAAAAAGAACACAAAGGGGGAGAGAGAGAGGGAGAGGGGTGGATTCAGTGAATTGGAAACTCAAGTGGGGTTGAGGAAAGATGCAAGTTGCCACCTCCGGAAAGAGAATGGGGAGTGTGTCTTCCAAGGTTCCCACCCCCTGTCCCTCTTCCTTTCTTTTTCTTTTTTCCTATTGCTTCTAATTCACGTCAACGCGGCCGTTTTCATGTTAGATTGGGTATTCCAGTTTTTGATATATTATACATAGAAAAGAATCGAAACCTTTTTTTTCATAACTAAACTACTTTTAACCAATATGCACAGATCTTCCGTCACCTTTTCCTTTATTAAAATTGTTGTATAAACAATTATTGGGCAAATATATTAAAAGATTAAGAATCTTTTTGGCACATTTATCGAAATCAAAGCAACTGACATAAAAACTACCCCATTCTCCCTGTGCCCCTACTTCAATCAATTTACCCTAAGCTTCCTATGGGTTTCTTTCTTAAAATTTTATAAGCTTTAAACAAAATCAACTTGTTGGTTGGGTGTTAGACTTTATTAGAGGTTCATGTATTTGTGTATGTTATTCTCCTGAGTGCGTGCCTAACAACTGCGTTAAAACATCTAGTTTAATTCTTCTTAGAAAAAAGTTATAAAAACAGGACGCTCCCACATTATTGAGACTAATAAAGTTGTTGGTCACAAATCACAAAGCCGTGTGTTTCATGTTTATACACAGTGTAATGTGTACCAATGATGTAACCTCCTTTAAGAAGTGATGGAGGTGTCATGGAATCATAAAAATTGAATTATTGAGAGAAGATTTTATTTTGAATTATAGAAGTTGAAAAATAAAATGTAATAAATAAATACAAACGGTGGAAAAAGGGGGGGAGAAAAGGAAGGGGTGTAGATGATGGGAAAAGTGGGAAAAGGAGGGGCACACAAATGGAAGTTAAAATAGGTTTATGAATTTGGTGTGATTTGGACATGTGATTACATCAAATCATGTCATGCCTCTGTTCCTTGGTTTGAAGAAGGATCCATGCATATATTATTTTATCCCCAAACTGCCCCTCCATTCCCATCGTTTTCATTTCCCTTGTTCCACACTAACCCAACATATCCCTCGCCCTTTCCACACTCCCACCATCTCATTTATTTGAGCATGTTTTGAGAAGATTGGAAGGAGGATGTAGCAGTGGTTGAGGGGCCATCTGGAAGGGAGCGATGAATTGCGTGGGTATAAAACTATTACATTTTTTTTAACTTCTTCTATTACATTTTTTTTTTAAATTATTAAATACTAAATATTATGGATCAATTTACCCTGTTTCTCCAAACTTTACCCACTTTACTCTAGGTATAAAACTAGAGTAAATATTCAACATGCTCCTACCAATGTATCATATGTATATATATAGTCAACATGCTCAAATAAATGTTTAACAATTACATATCACATGTTGGAGTCCTCCTAAAAATAATATCAAGCTGAAGGTATAAAACTACTTCTCCCTCAATTAGGCCTAAAATCATTCCTTCTAATTTACTACCTCAATGTCTTAATCCACTTTACAAATATATATATGACATGTGTTTTGAGTGTTGGATGTTGCTTACGATCGAGATATATTGAAACAAACAACTAAAACAGGAAGAAAAACTTTAGGGGAGAGATCGTTTGAATAGAGAAACCTTAAACTTATTCTACTTAGTGAAGTTTACTAGGTCACAATCTCCTTTGTAAATTTGACTTCGTTCGAGATTGTTCACTTCTAGCAACTCTCACATCTCTACAAACTTAATCCTTGTTAGGGTCTGGTTAGAATATCCACACGTTACTCTCTAGTGCATACGAACTCTACAATGATTTGTTTTTTCTCGACACACTCACGGATGAAGTGGAAACAAGTGTCAATGTGTTTGTCATCCGTGAAATACCGGATTCTTCTTCAGTGCAATCTTAGATTTATTTTGGTCGTAGAGAGTTACCGGCTTTAGTTTATTTTTAGTCACTCTGCTCAACAAATTTCTCAGCCACAATACTTGGCACGAGGCCACAGTTGCTGCCATGAACTCGGCTTCACATGAAGATAGTGGCACAGTTTGCTGCTTCTGAGACTGCCAAGAGATCAAATCTCTATTGAGATAAAATGTCATTCCTACGGTGCTTTTTCTATCGTTAATGTCTCTAGCTAAATCACTATGATAAACCCGACTAGTTCTTTAGGACCTCAACCTCTTTGATTCTTCAGTTCGTAGCTTGTGGTTCTCTTCACATAGCAGAGAACGTGCTTAACCGCTTGATGATACATCGTAGTGGGCTTTTCCATGTACTTACTCACCATTCCAACAACATATGAAAGGTTTGGACGAGTATGATTCAAGTAACTCAGGCTTCCGATGATGCGCCTATACTTGGAGAAATTCACCATGCTTCCTTCAACATCTTTCCCGAGTTGTAACTTTGCTTCCATAGAATACTTGGTCGTGTTGCACACTACCATTTTAAATTGTTGCAACCCCTTCTTAACATAGGCCGATTTCTTTAGCATGATGCAATCTTTCCTTTGGTCCACTTCGATACGGAGGTAGTACATGAGTAGCTCAAAATCAGTCATCTCAAATTCTTCGATCATTTCTTGTTGAAACATCCTTTGTAGAGGGTGTGAGTATCCAGCGCCTTTGTCGGTAAACATTTTAGAAAATAAACCACATGTCATTTTGCATCGCCCCAGAAAATCTCCCAGACTTGCATGCTCTTGAGTAAGCTTCTTCCATCGTTTTATTGTGGAGTGTACGATGTAGTGAGTTGACGCTTGATACCTTCATCTTCAAAGTACTTTGAGAAGTTCTAGGATAAGAACTCTTGGTCGGTGCACAAGTTTTTAGCTTCTGATCAAACCCGTTTTCAACGAGTCTTTTAAACTTCTTGAATACACATAATGTTCTCCTTTTTCTTTGAGCATGTATACTCACATCCCAACATGTAAGAGAAAATACTTATTAAGAAATCGATGATGGGGAGATCGAGCCACACAAATTTTCATGAACCAGTTGCAGTTGTCGCTCAATACGGAAACTGGTTTGAGCTGGGAACGACAATCTTTCTTGTTTGGAGATTAGACTGTTGGATTTGACCCACGATCGAAATTATGTCGAAACAAGTACAAGAGGCAAAGGAAAAACTTGAGGGGAGAAAGCTTTTTGAAACAAAGGAACGCTTGGCTTTTTTATTCTCTTTTTGTTGTGTTGTTGTGAAGAAAGCATACTTCTCATGAGTATTTAGAGTGGAGAAAGTACTAATTTGTTTCCAAAACTTTCTCATCAAGCTAAAATCCACTAACGATCTTCCTAATTAAAACATAAAACTTAGTCCACAACCACAAAACTTAGTCCATCCTCCACAATTCCACTAAGTCTACTAATAATTCTCCTAAAGTTACTCAATAAGTTAGTGACTTATTCTACTAAGTCAAGTTTATAAGCTCACATAGCTTGTCTTGGTGCATGATTTTGGGTAGCTCCATATCCATCTTCTTCTCTCCAATCATTTTGAGCGCTTGAAAGTTCACGTGCGCCAGTTTTGCATGCCATAACCAAACTGGGTCTGCAAGTGCTGTGAATCGAGAGGCGACCTGGCTAGTCTCCAATAGTATCTTGTATAGGTGGTTATGCGACTGTTTTACCTTCATCAACAAGATTCCATTTTTGTCAAACATCTTTAGGAACGAGTGAGCTAACTTCACTCTACTTCCTTCTTTTCTCATCTGACCAAGACTGATAATATTACTGTTCAAGTTTGGGATATAATATACCTTTGCCATGGAACAAGATGGATCCTTTGTCTTGGATCAGTACAATTGATCAATCACCAAACTTCACGTTTCCAATGAGAAGGCTCGCCATAACCTTCTCTTCGTTGAGCGTCTTCTCGGTCAACATCGGTGTGGGTTCTTGATCCTACGTGGGTGTGAGGTTTTCCTCCTCATTGCGCTTCTCATTGTGGCACTCTACTGCATAGTGCCCATATTTTCCACAAGAGTAACACTTGATCATACTCTTGTTGATAAGGATCACGGTGTTTCAAATGTTCCAACTAGACTTATTACACGATCCAATGCCAAGAACATTCAACAAGCATTCCTTCATCTACAAAATTGTATAGGCTTGGTTCGACCATTATTTAATGTGTTAAAGGCTGATTCCATTGAGGAATGATCATTTGAAGTTTTAGAAGTTAATATTTGCACGGTTGAAGTAGCGGATGAAGTTGTTGTAAATTGCACTTGGTTGATAAGTTATTAGAAAACTTATTTATTATTTTTAATTTCATGAATCATATGATGGACAAAAGGGTGGAAGTTATTTGTCAAATTGACTTCTTCTTTGTCGAGAATTAAAGAGAGTGGGAGTAAATTATGGTCCTTATGGGCATTTGAAGAATTGAAAATTTATTTGTGGAGAAACTATAAATACCCACAAATTACTATGTAAAAGGCAGATTTTGATAAATGGAATTTAGCTCTCATGTATAGACTTTTACCCATAGAAATTTCAGAATCATTTTTGTCATTTCTATGTTTCATGCAATTATTGTAGTAGATTGCATACAAGTCATTCAATTAAGACTTGGATCAAGTTCGATTGTAGAGTGACTCAATTTAGAACAATGTTCCAAATCTTGTTTCTAGTTCTTTGATCTTAACTGGTAATCTAATTTTAGTTTTATCTGTTGGTTGATCCAAATTTTGTATAAAGAGATGTTATTTTCTTTGATTCAGGGTTCTTGCTTCAACAAAAACTTGATCGTTCGGGACTAGGGTTGCCTTATCAAGTTGGTATTAGAACTTAGGTGGCATCTTTGTGGCTACTCTAGAATTTATTTTATCTTTCATTTATGCTATTGTTTATTTTTTCTTTAATTATGTCTATTTATTTTCTTGTGGCCACTTCCACCATTCTTCATAGTCTTTTTACTTTGTTCTCATTTTCTTCTATCATATTTAGATCTTGGAAAAAAAAATTTATCATATTTTTTTTAAGATTGTGATTATAAATGGTCATTATCATTTATTTTTTTAGACCATTTGCATGTTTATTTAAAGATCAAATAAACTTCAATTCACATTTTACTTAAACCATCTAAATTGATAACCGTTGTGCCTGATGTTTTTGTTTCCTAATTCAAATTCAAAAATAACTTCTCAATTTGCAAAGTTAGATCATTCTCTTAGTCAAAATCTTAACAACATTTCTTTTTTAACTCATTTTTAGTGTGCAATTCTATCAAAAAAAAAAATATATATATTTGTGTCCCTTATTTGTTGGATCATTTCTTGTTTTATTTTGTTGTTATTTCATAATTAACTTATCTTGATTGCCTTGAATAACTTACTACTATCAAAATTACTTTACCTATATATTAGTCTACCTTGATCATAACTTAGTCACTTTCCCAAATAGCATACCTTTGTGTGTAATGAATGAACACGAGTATCCCTGAGTGTAAAATCAGTGAGTTGAGTGTATGTATGAGGCCCTAAGCTTATATTTAACTATTGTTTGTATAATCATGAACCAAGATGGGGGCATTGAAATAGCTTTAGTGTCTTGACAGACCGGATGGAGAGAACTGAAATAGCTTTAGGTAATCCTCAAGGAAGCGAAGTTAAGGAATGTTCGCATGCTAGCACGTCCTGGCGATCCGTATAAGTATTACTTGCCTAATGTCTTTGTTACTACTTAATTCGATGAAGTGTTCTTTCCAAGAGGGTGATGTGCTCAGATGAGTGAGTGATGAGTTACCTGTCACGACCTGACTTTCGAGGCTTCGAAAGACCGAATCGTGACTAAAAAGACGAAATCGAAAACAAATAAAAATAAAGTGGAAGGTAAAAATCCGGCAAAATTTAAAACAAGAAAAAGAAATTAAGGACACTAAAATTAAATATAAAATCAAAGTCAAATGTTACCAAATAGGAATTGCAAATATAAAATGAAATACAAAAGACTATAAATATGAAAATGGACAAAGGACTCTAAAAGACCGACAAGGGACTGACGCTCCGGAACGACACCCCTCTGTGACAGTGCAGCTCTAGAACCCCCCCCCCCCCCCCCCCCCCCCCCCCCCCCCCCCCCCCCCCCCCCCCCCCCCCCCCCCCCCCCCCCCCCCCCCCCCCCCCCCCCCCCCCCCC